CGCGCGTCTATTTGTGTGTGTGTTGGGGGGGGGGGGCGTGTAATGTCATAAAGCTTACCATCCGCACAGACAACGCACACAGAAGCAGGTGTAATAAAAGATCCATGTTCGCACTGCAAGATAACAAACGTATTTAACCACAAATAAATTCAATGAGCTAATAAACATCTAATGAATAATAAATGATTAAATCATAATAGAAGGAGTAGGATCAGATTTAAATAATAAGATAAGAAGGTAAGGTATTATACTCCCGGTGCTTTGAACGCCAAGCGCAGCAGCAGTATAATTATATCAGGAGTAAGATAATATAGGTATCCTATATTATCTTACTCCTGATTATATCGATAAACTAAAGATAACAGTAATTAGGCCTAATAAGTAAAAGTAAGAGAAACAATATTATTACTCGCATAGACAGCACCTAGACCATTTACACGTACAGCTCTAAGACTTGGTTGCTGATACACGTACGGCAGAGTGGATCGATGGATCGGACAGCTGGGTGTGTACTGTGACCGATGACGATATATATAATCTCAGGAGAAACCTCTGATGTTTGTCTCGCGCAGCTGTCTGTGTGTGTGCGCTCAAATCTAGCGACGGAGTGCGAGGATGGTACGAGCTGTGACCTATATATATCAGGAGTAGATAATAGGGAACCCTATTATCTACTCCTGATATATATATATATATATATATATATATGCAGGCGGTGAGATATCATCGTAGGTGCGCAAGGTACGTCGCATTACCCGTCGAAAGCTACAGGGGAGAGCGGGTTCTATCTATAAACACCGGTATACGGGCACACGAAACACTTATAGAGAGCATGCTAGAGCTCGACCGTTCACTACTATACGCTGCAATAGACGTCTAGCTAGCGCCACCGCAGCGAACGGACGTGTTTTCGTATCTCTCCGACGAAAGAGTAAACATTACGTGAAGAATACGAGATTTTAGACTAGAAAGGCAGAGGGGAGCGGCCATATTTCTTATTGTTGGTTTTTGGCGGGAAAAGTTCAAAATTACTCATCGACTAGATAAATAAACTCTAACCTGGGCAATAAAGTATAAACTGATATAGATCTAATGTAAGCTAAATGGGTCAAAAGAAGAAAACATCAAAGAAAGTAGATAACGTACATTTGGTAATAGATGGGCTCAATGTTGAAGTGTAATACCCAGCTATACACGTTTTTCTAACGTTATATGATCTAGTTTTATTTTGGTTTGGTTTGAATTAAACCTTCTAAGAACGTTCATCAAACGTTATAAATAAAGTTATATATAGGTTCTTGACAAACGTTTGCCACAAACGTTGTGTCAACCACCATTTAACGTTTCGTTATGGTTGCGAAATGGTTTACTACAAACGTTAGCTATAAACGTTGCACTAACCATCATTTAACGTTTTTATATATAATAGTTGCCAAATGGTTAGAAACAAACGTTATCTGCACACCTATTACAAACCAGTACTTAACATTTATCTAGGGTTCCGAGGGGGTCAAAATAAACGTTATTTATAAACTTAGTCGTAACTATGAGCAAACGTTAGCCATGAACGTTGAACTAACCGTTTTTATATGGTTAGAAACAAACGTTAGCTGCACACCTATTACAAACCAGTACTGAACGTTTATCCAGGGTTCCGAGGTGGTGAAAATAAACGTTATTTATAAACTTTGTCGTAACCATGAACAAACGTTAGTTATGAACCTACACTAACCATCCTTTAACGTTTTTATATGGTTAGAAACAAACGTTAGCTGCACACCTATTACAAACTAGTACTGAACGTCTATCTAAGGTTCCGAGGTGGTGAAAATAAACGTTATTTATAAACTTTGTCG